GTGGGCTTCAATGTCAGCCTGATGCTGACGCCCACAATAAGAGCTCTTTCACACCGCCTGCTAATCATGAGGCTCTGATTGATGAGCCTCATCTTCTCTCTCTTGCGGACGATCTCCTTATGGTCACACCTTTAGACTCACCGTTCCTTCTTTCTTTCAAGGGTGAGTCTGGGTGTTGACCATAAGAAAGAAAGAGATCGTCCAGCAATCTTCTGTTGCCATTTTCTTTTATTTGAAGGCAACAGAAGAGAGAGAGAAGGATTCCTTGCATTCATTATCATTTTTCTTTTACAATTTATTGTGGGCTTCTGTTCTTCTTCTTTTCTCTTGATGAAGAACAGATGGAAGCCCACAAATAATAAATTGTAAATTTAAGAAAAATGTAATGGCAAGGAATCTTTATTTTATTTATTTCTTAATTTTATATTTTTTCTTTTAATATTTTCTGGATTCTTCTTTCCAATTTCTATTTTCTTGAAGAAAATAAAAGAAGAAATTGGAAATTATTAGAAGAATCCTTTCATAGAAAATATTAAATGAATAAAAATAATTAAAATTAATAAATAAAAAAATAAATGTTATCACGTCCAGGAATCCACTTTTCTTTTTTCTTTATCTTGGCATTAATTGCCTGTTCTTTTAGAAAAGAAAGAGATTATTCACAGGCAATTATTAAATTCCAAGATAATTAAGAAAAAAAGAAAAGATAATGGATTCCTGAAGGACATTTGGTGATAACATGATATTAATTATTTATTTATTTATTTCTTCTTTTTTGGAAATTAAAATTATTTTCAGAAAATTTCCAAATTAAAGAAAGAAATAAAATATAAATAATTAATTATGAAGAGATCCATACGGTCAAGCAGGAAGATTTCTTTGATTTTCTTCTTGGATTCAAATTCATCATCAGGATGAATTCCAAGAAGACAAAGAAATCGCTTGACCGGATCTCTTCGTTGACGGTACCGACGGTCTGTTATTTTCTTTCATTCAACCGGTGGCTCACCCATTATCACGTGAGCATCAGCTCTGAGCCACCGAATGAAAGAAAAAAGACCGTCGGATCAATCCCGTCAACAGATTAATTTTCATCTGAAATTTCTTTCTTTAACTGGCGGTTCATCAATAAGAGAGCGAATTATGTCCCTCAAGGACCGCTCTCTTATCAACCGCCAGTAGAAAGAAAATTTAAGAGAAAATTAATCATTCATTTTATAATAAAAGAAAGAAAAATAAAAGTTAATAATCAATTGTTAAAAAGAAAATCAAACAATTGTTAACTTTTATTTCTTTCTTTTATTCTTTATAAAATGAATATTCTCTTTGACGCACCATTCATTCTTTTATTAAAATTTGTAAATTGGAAATTGATAAAGAACTTCGTTCCAATTTCCACAAATTTTAAGAAAAGAAGAATGCAGTGCGGGCTCTTGATGAGCCTCCAAGAGAATGATTCCTTACGATCCAGCTATATTTTTCTTTTGAATAATGGTGTTGGAAGATCCTGTTGGATCCACCATTATAAAGAAAATTATTTTAGCTGGATCTAAAGGAATCGAAAAGAGCGGAGCGATAATCTTGAGATCTGGGGAATCTACTCGTGAGTCTCTCTTTATTGTCTGCGCTGATGCGCTCATCTTTGATGAAGACAATAAAGGCTCACGAGTATAAGATTCTAGATCTCTAGATTAATCCGCTCTTTTCCTTTCCATTATTAAAAAGAGAAAAAAAGAGACTTTGGAATCAATGTCGTGATGAGAGAAGAAAAATTGAGTCGTTCTCTGTTTCCCCTTCCTTTTTAATAAAGAAGGATTCCTTGCCACGGTTTGATGGAAAGAGCGTCCTAAGGACACAAGCTCTTCGTCTATCAACCGTCCCAAAGGCAAGGCATCTCGATCCGGAGGTTATTAACGTCCTTCATGAAGGAAAAGCATGTGATCACTGTGAGCCCAAAGGAAAGAGAAGGTAAGGCTCACAGTGAATGCTTTTCCATCAATCCTGGACGGTTAACACACGGATCGAAGAAAAGAAACGAAATGATCTCCGGTGAACGCTTGAAAGCGATCGATTCACCGGATAATCGATCATTCGTTTTCTTTTCTTCTCTTGAAAGCTTGACGTTCTCTTGGAATCTTCTGCGGTCTGTTCTTTTATTTTTTTGTTAATGACCGCAGAGAAGATTCCAGAGAAGCGAATCAGCTTTCAAGAGGTTCATTTTCTTTTTCTTTCAATCATCCATCAAAGCACGGATAAGATCGAGACTAAGTGACGCTTCTTTGCTTCTTTTGAAGCGTCTGTCTCGATCTTACCGGGCATGTGGATGATTGAAGAAGAAAATGATTGATGGCTCTCTCTCACTTGCTCTCTCTTTCTCTTTTAACTGTTGTGTGCGCTGCAGCGCTCATCTTCAGGATGAACACAACAAAGAGAAAGAGAACAAAGAGCAAGTGTAAAAAATTAGAGCCATTAATCACGCTTCTTTATTTAATTTTCCTCTTTCTCATTCTCATTCTCTTTTATTTTATCTTCAGATAAAATTAATAAAATAGAAATTTATGAGAATGATTTGAAAGAGGAAAATTATAGAAGCTGTGTGATGGCATCACAATTATCCTTTTTTCTTTTTCAATAATGTGCGCATTCTCTTTTTTCTTTATGTGCGCACAAGAAAAAGAAAATAAAAGGATAATTAATGCTGATGCCATCATAATAATCTCTTCTACTTTTTCCTAAAGAATTTTGTATTTTTATTAATAATCTGTTATTTTATGAGCTGATGCTCAACAGATTATTAAAGATAAAAATACAATTTCTTTAAAGGAAAAAAGTAAGAGATTATTAGATCAGGAGTATAATTATTTTTATTTTATTTCTTCTTCATAATGACTTCTTAAATTTCTTTTTTATAAAAAAGAAGAAGTCAAGAAGAAGAAATATTAAAATAATTATTAACCTCCTGATCCTGGCTCACCTAAATATTAAATGAAAGAGAAGATCTTGCCATCATTCATCTGTGGACCGATTAAAAGAGAAGGAAGTGATGGTCCACAGATGATGGCAAGAAGATCTTCTTTTCATATAATGGTGAGCCAGCATCCCCGTCTGACATCACCTTGCCAATCAATCTCTGGGCACACAACTAAAAGAAAGAAATAAGTGTGCCCAGCAGATAGAAGGCAAGGTGAAGACGGGGATGATCCAGCATAAACTTCTTCTCCAACATCAATTGCATTTCTTAAAGAAAAATGATTGCAATTGATGGAGAAGAAGTTTAGACTGGATCTCTGGAATCCTTGTCTTCAATCTTCTCTGGATCTCACTATTTTCTTTTCAATATTGTGTGGGCACATTAAAGATCTGAGGATCTAGCCACACAATGAAAAGAAAAAGAAAGTGAGATCAAGATGAAGATGAAGACAATAAGGATTCAGTGATGGAAATTATTGGAAAATGATCGAATAATCCTCGTGTCTTGACTCCTTTTCTTTCAGAGAAAAGGGGACACGAGGAGATCATTTTCCTGTCAATAAATTCCATCAATTTCCTGGCAATAATTAATTTCTTTACTAACTGGCTGATAAAATAATAAAAAATTGCCAGTTAGTAAAAGAAATTAATTATGATAATGCCAGGAAATGATTCATTAAAAAGAAAAGGAAAGGTGGACATCAGTTATTATCGTTCTGAGGCACATAACGTCCACCATTTCCCTTTTCTTTTTGATGAATCCTCTCTTGACTCTTTCTTTCTAAACGAGCTGTCCTTCAGGGACAATAAGTGCTCGTTTAAAGAAAGATGAGTCAAGAGAGAAAGCCAGGCTCTTAGAAAAGGAAATTTAGAGCCGACAGATAACCAAAGAAAAGTAATCGAGACAAGCAAGTGCTGAGGCACAATTAAATGCTTGTCTCGTTTTCTTTGGTGTGTCGGCTCATGTCCTTAAGAGCCAGGCTTTGATCCACCGTCTCTTTCCCGAGCTGGCCTGATGGCCATCAGCTTAAAGCTGAGCTCGTGGACGGTGGATCAGATGGACGGATGCTCTTCAAGAGCCAGCATATTGCTGATCCGTCCATCAAGAAAGAGAAGGAAAGCCAGGCATGCGATTCCAGAATTCTTTGATGGCCAGCCAGAGGCTGAGCTCTTTAAGAGCTGCCATCATGAAAAAGAATTCTTGGAAATGCAGCGTCTGGCTTTCTATCTTCTCTTTCTTTAATCCACCGCATTAAACTTCCTTTCTTTTCTTTTTTAATAATAATTGTATTTCCTTAAGGAAATATGAAAACAATTATTAATTAAAAAAGAGAAAGGAAGTAAAGCGGTGGATTGATTACTGACCATGTGATCCTGACCAACTTCTGCTTTCTTTAACGAGCGGCTCTTTCAGAGCTGATTCACTCGCTCGTTAAAAGAGAAAGCAGAATTCTTTGGTCAGGATCGTCAGGAATCGTTTCCTTTTTCTCTTTTTAGAAATTGAATGCGGACATGATTGAAAATCATATTTGTCCGCTTAAATTCAATTTCTATAAAGGAAAAAAAGGAAACAATATTATTTTTAGATCAAGAATTTATCATTTTTTATTTATAATTTTACTAAATTTCTATTAGAAGAAAAGAATAAAAATAGAAATTTAGATTGTAAAATTATATTAAATAAAAAATAAGAAAATTCTGATCTTAATAAAAATAATATTATAATTCCTTTCTTTATCTTGATATATTTCCATCTTATTTTCATTTCCTATTTGAACCACCATTTGATTGACTCTCGATGAAAGAGAGAAAAAGAGTCAATCGGTGGTTCAAAGAAATGAAAATAATAGATGGAAGATCAAGATAAAATATAAAGGAATTATGATCCGTCCTTCTTTTAATGTGGGACCTGAGCATGGCTTTCATCCTCGTGTGAGCGGGTCTAAAGACCGAGCCTTCGCTCTCGCTCGCACGAGAAAGCCATTGCTGGCCCACATTAAAGGACGGATCGATCCGTGTGGAACGTCCATATGATCCTGGATGAAGAGCTGCTCATCAAGAGCTGTTTCGCTCTTCATAATGGATCAGGACGTCATCACGGATCATCTCTTGATCGCCTCTTGACTTTTTTTCTTTTCTTAGTCGTGTGGGCGGTCCTGAAGACCTTTGGGCCCACACTAAGAAAAGAAAAGGCAAGAGCATCGGATCAAGAGATCTTTGATTTAATCCTTGACATTGATCGCAATGATCGCAAAAGAATAATTTTAAAGAATGCGATCATTGATTGCGATCAATATGTCAAGGAAATCCAAGCTTTCCTTTCTGAACGCCAGTGAAGGCATAACCGGTTGATAAACCTTCGATCACGAGAGCCTCAGCCGTTAATGGGCCTCAAGCCCTGGCTGATGGAAGGCTCTCGTGAAGGTTGACCGGTAATGCCTCACGGCGTTAAAGAAAGGAAAGAAAGAACCAGACGATCGTACCCTCGCTTCTAACTGCTGACCCTTAATCCCTTTCTTTTTTCTTTAATGGAGGGTCAGCAGAAGTTAGAAGCGAAGGGTTACGATCCACTGTCTGGTTCTGTCTCTTTCATAACAAGAAAAACAAATTGATTTCTAATCCTTTATCCAGCATGATCAAGTTTCTCGATTTGAAAAATAATAAGAGAAACTCATGCTGGATGATTAGAAATCTGTTTTTCTTGATCATGAAAGAGACGATAGGAATACCTTCTTTCTCTCTTTATTGTGTGCGTCAGCATCAAGCTGGCTCTCAAGAGCACGCACACAAGAGAGAAAGAATAATGGTCTTCCTATCATTCATTTTCAATTTTAATATTTTCCAATCATAACTTTCCAATATTTTCCTATTTCTATTTTTTATTGGAAAGTTATTGGAAAATATTATTGAAAATGAATTCCAGAGATCCATCATTATCCAGCGTTCACTTAAAGTGAGCACAGAGCTTTCTATGAGCCCGTTCCATCATTCCATGGGCTCAACGCCGGGCTCACGTGAACGCTGGAAATGGATCTCTGGACTCATCACTGGCTGTAACAACATTTCGTTTACAATTTTCTTTATGAATCGTCTTCCAAGCTGATGGCAATTTCTTTTCTTTATTGAGGCCATCAGCAGACGATTCAATTAAAGAAAAAGAAACGAAAGTTGTTTGATCGCCAGTGATGGTGGGCCCATTATTAATGTTGTGACATCGTGTGCGATCATGTGACCCGTCATCAGACGTGAGCTTGCGCTCTCACCCGCACACAGATGATGTCACAACATCGGGCCCACACACATCCTCCACCTGACGCTCTTTCTTTCTTTGTGGATCAGCAATTGCTTTCTTGTACAATAATTGCAATTGCTTCCGGATCCACTAATAAAGAAAGAATTAAGAGCGTCAGGAGCTCGAGGATGTGTCATTTTCCTGTAGAACCAATTTCTTTCTTTCCTTTCTTAAGTCGTGATCCTTAATCTCTGGCTCTTTCTTCTTAATGTGGGAATTGAGCCAGAGATTGATCACGACTGAAAGGAAAATGAAAATTGGTTCAGGAAAATGATTCACAATTAAATAAAGGAAAGAAAAAATAATGTACGGAATAATTATTAAAGAAAAGAAAGTAAAGATCGTCCGTACAATTATTTTCTTTCCATTTAATTGTGAATGAAGAGATGGATATCATGACACGTATCATCTGTGGGTGGCGGTGAGCTTAAGCTCTAACTTTAACCGCCATTACCAACAGTGATTAATCGTGTCATGCCATCTCTTCACCTCCAAGATTTGATTTATTTTCCAATATTTTCTTCATTTGTGGTCTTTGATGATGGCAACAGAGAAAACAAGAAAGGCCATCTTCGACCACATTAAATGAAGAAAAAGGAAAATAATAACAAAATCTTGGAGGATATCTCTTGCAAATTCTTCTTTTTAAAAATAAATATATAAATGGTGAGAATTAATTATCTCTGAGCTCACCATTTAAATTTATTTTTTAAAAAGAGAAGAATTAATAGCAAGAGATTATTATTTATTTTATCATTGACATTTCTATTTTCTTTTCATAAGATCTTGGCTATTAATAATTAATACTAATGAAAGGGAAAAGCCAAGATCTTAAAAAGAAAAGAAAATAAAGAAATGATGATAAAATAAATGATTATAAAATAGAAAACTAAAATCTCTGAACTTATTATCTTCTGTTCTTTTAATTTTATTTGATAATAAAAATTAAAAAGAAGATAATAAGTTGATGACAGAGATTTCTAGTTTATCATTTTATAATCGTCTCTTTCAAAACCATGGAATTTATTTTCATTAGTGGCCAATAGAAAAAAGAATAAAAGACAAGGCCACTAATGATTAAAATAAAATTCCATTGATGAAAGAGACAGGATCAGGAATAAAATTATCCGTAGGTCGGGACAAGTTTTCACTCTCTGGCTAACTGTGGCGGTGGAATAGGACCTAAGGTCCCCGCCATCAGTTATTAAGCCAGAGATTGAAAGCCCGACCATATGACGGATAATCACCCTGATCCTGAACACTTTTTTCTCTTAATTTCTTGTGAACTAATGCTGGCTCGAATATCAGCCTCAAGCTGATGCCAGAATTCACAAGAAATTGTAAGAGAAAAAAAGTTAATCGTTGACGGATCTTTGATTTAATTTCTTATTTTCTTATAATCGTTTACAAATAATTTTTCTGAAAGAAATTAAAATTATTTTCTAGTAAACGATTATTAGAAAGAAATTAAATCAATCAATCATGTTTTCCTTCTTCTTTTTAATAAAATAAATATTTGATGTGAACGCAAGAGAAAAGAAAATGCGTTCACAATATTTATTTTAAAAAAAGAAGTAAGGACATGATTGATGAAGATTCCTTGACAACTATATTTTCTTTGTAAACTCATTGATCACTTTAAGTGAAGAAAAAAAGTGATCGTTACAAAAGAAAAATAGTACAAGGAATCTTGATCCAGTGCTAACAGCTAATTCTTTCTTTTCTTATTATTAGAAGCGAGCCTAAGGGCTCAGACGCTTCTAATAAGAAAAGAGAATTATTGCTGTTAGCGTAACTGGATCTATTTCCTTTACCAATATTTCCTTTATTTGAAAGAGAAAATTAGAAAGTTGTCAATTGATTGTTATTTTGTTTTTCTTTTTAACAATCAATTGTGAGACAACTTTCATTTTCTCTTCAAATAAAAAAGGAAAAATGGTAAAGGAAATGTCCGTGCCTCAGTTGCTAGAGCGACAGCCTTAGGCTGGCCAGTAATGGCTCGCTCTTTTAGCAACTGAATCAGGCACGGACAGAAAGGAAAAGTAAAATTATTGATGGCTCTTCCAGCAGCTGATAAAATAAAAAATAAAGATAAAGAGACTGCTGCTGGAAGAAAGAGCCATCAATAAATTCATTTCCTTTCGTCTCTTACGATCGTGTCTTTTTCTTTTTTCTTTATTGAAGCGTCCAGCTTACAGCTGATCCATCAGACGCTTCAAATAAAGAAAAAGAAGACACATCGATCGAAAGAGACAAGAGAAAGCTCCGATTTGACGGGTCATATAATGCCATCAGGGCATTCCCGTCCGAGCTTTCTCTTATCAGCGGTAAGAATTTCTTCATTCCATCAGCAATCTTCTATTTCATGCGGTCAATCAACTACAAATAGAAAAGAGAACGATTGACCGCAATAGAAATACGATTGCTGGAATGAAGACTTACCGCTGAGATCAGGAAAATAGCTGTCAACATTTATCACGAGCCTAATAACGATGGCAAGGTCCTGAAGGACTGAGCATGAAGCTCACATCGTAGGCTCGTGATGTTGACAGCGAATCAATTTTCCTGATCCTTTCATCATCGATCTTCCGCTTGCTTTCCTTTCGTCTCTTTGAAAGAGACAAAGCAAGCGAAGATCATACGATGATGAAAGAGAAAAGAAGTGAGTCGAAGACCGCCGTCTATTAATCATCTCTTTCTTTCTCTTAATAAATGAGGAAAGAGATGATAGACGGCTGGTCAAGACACGTCTTTTCTGTGGCCTTGAGGGCCACCTTTCATTTCATAAAGAAATGAAAGAAAGGAATCTCTGAACTCCGTGTCCTTTCTCTTTTCTTTTGTAAAAGAAAACAAAAGAAAAGCGGACACGGTGTCAGGATTCCTTTCATTTCTTTAAAGAAATGAAAGATCACAGCACAGATTTCTTATTTTTCTTCATTTGTTTTCATAATTTCCTGATGAAATTAATAAATGAAAACAATTTAATGAAGAAAATTAAAGGAAATCTAAATGTGCTGTGATTGATGAGCCCGAAGAAAGAGCCAATTAATCGAGCGAAGCACTCTAGTGCCAGCGATGAACGCTGTTCGCTCGATTGGCTCTTTCTGTTCTACGGGCTCATCACTTCCCGGATCACTTAAAGAAAATGAATGAAAACTAATTTCTTCAGAAATTTATCAAAGTTTTCATTTTTCATTTTCTTTAATCCGGGAAGTTGGAAGCCTTGGGAATTTTCTTGTAACCGGTTAATGATCTCACCCACAGACGCTTTTCCTTTTCCCTTTTTTCTTTATAATGCGTCTGTGGAAAGGTGAGATCGTTATTAACCGGTTATTAAAAAGAAAATTCTTCAATGGCTTCCATTTCCTTCTCCGCTTCCAACATTTCTTTTCTCTTGATTGCCAACATTGGGCTTAAGGCCCAGGCAATCTTCAAAGAGAAAGAAATGGATTTGGAAGCTCAGGAGAAGGAAATCATTCATTTTTAAAAAAGAAAATAAGACGTCATCATTACAATCTCGATCAAGAAAAAGAAAAGAAAGATCGAGATTGATGACGTCTTATTATTTTCTTTATTATAAAATGAATGTGTCTCTTGATCTCTTTGATGTGAGCGTGAGCGATTAATTTTCCGCTTTCTTCAAGAAAGAGAAAGGAAAATAAGCTCATCGCCACATCAAAGACTTCAAGAGACAGAAGGTTATTTTTATACAATTTCTCTCTTTTGATCTCATCTAATTGTTGGCTTTCAAAGATAAAAATAAGATGCCAACAATTATTTGATGAGATCAATAAAAGAGAAGAAATTAATAATGAAAATAACCTTCCTTTCCTGTGGACGATCAATGGTCTGCTCGTATCGATGATGAGCTCAAATGAAGGCCTGAAGCCTTCGCACATCTACGAGCAGATTGATCGCAACCACAGGAAAGAGAGACACGCCAACAATAAAAAAGAAATTAATGAATGTGTGCGGTGATGCCCTGAAGGCATCAATCATCCGCACATTGACATTCATTTTCTTTTTAATGTTGGAAGGCGTGTC